GGTTTCGGTAAAAACAATAACATGGGATNCAATCAAAATTTCGAATTAAGTTATTGAGCTTCGTAAACTCGGCTTTACGAAAGCAGCGGACGCGTTCAGATAGCCTACCCGCACGATCCGATACAGTAGGTCCAATATCTATCGACACTTCGAAAGTAGGATGATAGCAGTCTTCAGGTATAGTGAGCGGGAGTGCTCGTGTTAACAACGCTACGGTCGGATCCGAGACAAAGCACAGATCAAGCAATCGACCCAAGGAGTTTTTTACATGGTTGACTTGAGACAGGGACAGGTCTAATAAGCCATCAATAAACTCATGTCGTGACATGGGCACAAGGTTGTTTGACTCGTTAACCGAAGACCAGACAGTACCTGGCAGGTTGAAATCCCCAAGAACTATTAAATGGTCTTTATCTGATAGCGAGGAAGAAACAGTTTTTAAGGCAGACAAATGCTGCTCGTATATTAGTACATCCGAAGACGGTGGAATATACGAGCAAGTGACATAAATAGACTGGCCGGGAAGAATCAGTCTAACACAGAGGAATTCCAGGTCTTGTGAGACCTGGACTATGAAAAGTTCCGACGTAAAGTTAGAGTTTACTGCAATCAGAACCCCTCCTCCACGTCGAGACGAACGATCATTCCTATAAATTGTGTACCGATCTGCCAAAACTTCGGAACTAAGAATGTCCGGCTTTAACCAGGTTTCGGTAAAAACAATAACATGGGATGAAAATGTGAAACTATCCATAAAAAGAGTGCTCAGCTTACTACGTAAGCCGCGAGCATTTTGATAGGCTACAAAGAGGGATGTTAGTTTTTTGACTGCAAGGAATTGCAGTGGGAAGAGGGGAATGGAGCAGAGGAGGAAGGACCACTGGCCTCACTACTAGGAAGAGTTATGGGGGGCCTATTTTTCTTCTTAGCCTTAAACTCTTTCACAACCAGGTGCTCTGGCCAAAATTTGGAAGAGCAAATGGTCCCGAAATGAGTTGGAGACACGCTAATCTTGAAAGAGGATATCTCCCTGGCATATGAGAAATTAAACTTCTCCACCTTTAAACCAACGGCTTTTATTTTGCTTTGTATAAAAGCAGTTACATCATTAGATGTGAGGTCAGGGGCAAGCCGAGAGACAAAAACTTGCCGCTTTGGTGGGACTCCCACCAGAGGTTTTGGCACCACAGATCTGGTACCTGTGACGGCAATGTCCGGTGGTCCGGGACGTTTATTAACTGGTGGGATCGAAATAGATGGGATGGGCTTTGGAACGGACTCGACAGACACGGACGCTACAGTACTAACTGGCTGCATGTTCTCCGAGATGATCGGCTAAAACAATGAACAAACTCTGCAGGTTGTTGGACATAATCATAACCTATTATTCTGTTTACTTAAATCTTCAGGATTCTGATTGTTTAATTATTAGCCAGACAAATATGGGGGAGTTCATTTTTTTATTTGATTTAATTTAAAACACTTTAAAGGAGGAATATTTACATTTACACACACACATAGAGGAAAAGAAAATATTTACATTGCAGTTTCTGAGTAGCAGATGCATGCCGGTCATTTGGCTACATTTGCGTGGACCCGGGGCGGCGATGATCCATTGCCGATTGGAGCCTTGGCCGTTGACTTCTTGGCAAATGGCCGCAGCTCAATAATGTCCGCCTTGAGGGCTCTGAAGCTCTTGCGCAACGAATCGGAGACCTTTTTCGTGTAGCTATTGCTGTTGCTGCATAACGAGAGCTTGTCCTCGCCGTGGCCACGTCGATCGCTGGACAACGGACGCAATTCATCCTCCTGCTGGCCAGCAGCTCCTTCGCCTAAATTATTCCTCAGATACTTGCGATTAAAGTGCAACTGTGGGGTGCCCCACTTGCGCTCCAGCTCTTGGCCATTGTTCGTGTTGGGATCATCCTCCGAGTCGGGTGTGGAGGCAGTCGCATCTCCATCGCCCTCGGGCTCCATCTCCACATCCACCACGCCCATGCCCTCCTTGTATGTGCGCGTAATAATCATATTCGCGGGCACACTCTTGCCATTGACGCCCGCATTCTTTGTCTGCTCATAGTCGATGGGTACGGGCAGACTCTGGCGTGGCGGCTTGGCCCGACGCGGTGACTTGACCGCCAGCACGCTCACGCGATAGTGCAGCACCTGCTAAAAGGAAGGGAGAGCGTTAGTAGGAATCATTAATGGAGAGGCAAACACACACACACACACACACCTTTTCGGTATCTATGAAACGAGAGAGCTCGTTCAGGGGAATGCTCACGCATGTGCCATCCATGAGAATATCCCGATCGTATTCGCTGTGAACGGGAAACTTTTGGGTCATGGACAGCGCCTCGTTGTCCGGCTGCAGCAGCGTCACCTCGTAGGCATAATTGTACTTGCTCTCGCGACGATTCGAGGTGCAGGTCATGGTAAAGAGGATGCGCTGCTTGTCGTAGATCTCGTAGAAGTTAAACATTTCATCGTGCGCCTGGAAGACATAGTAGCCGGTGAGGGGCTTGCGTCGCACCGCCATATTCCACACCAGATCCGAGCTGTGTGTGCGGAATAGCTTGTCGGCATGCTGCTCCTCCAGATGCTCCTTCCACTGCACCTCCCTGCCCTGCCACTTGCACTCGCCCCATACACGGCCCATAAAGCATTTCATTGGCTTGTATATGCACTGCTGCTCATGCCAGGGTAACAATGCCACCGGCATGCGCACCTGGCAACCACCAGCTGCATGGCTGCATCTGAAATGTGCCTTGGCACACAGCGCCTCAACCGTCAGGGAGCGTGAATTGGTGAATGATTCCTGCACAAAAGATAACGGGGAAAAAAGATCACTTGTTATGCGGCTGTCGATGATGTCAGTCATTAATTTCATATTCAGTTTCAAGTGTTTCCCACTGTCATTCCCATCCCTTTCTGCCCCCACCCCTCTCTCACGAACGTCATTAGATAAGATTTTGGCATACCGATAAGTCCGATAATCGATACCCGATAACGTTTGGACACGTCCGCTGACGTCAAGTTACCTTGCACAGTGGGCACATAAGCAATATCCGTGTGCACTGCTCACACACACTGTGTCCGCTCTTGCACAGCAAAATGGGAGCCTTCATGGCGCCAGCGCAGCCGGGACAGCGCAATTCCTCAATCAGACCTTCATAGTGCCGAGCAGACACAGTCGTTGGTGGCTCTGCCGCTGCTGCTCCATTTGGTTCCTCCGCTGTTGCCGCTGTACTTAGTGCCGTTTCCGTTAGACTTTGGCGCATCAGCGTGGCTTCAGCGGCTCCATTTGTCACCGGACTACGTCCATCACCGGAGCCAATGCTGCGTGTGCGACTCAGCATGGGTGGCTTTGGCGGCGGCGACATAGGTGAACGCATTGTCACCACATTGGGGCTGGGTAGCGTGGCATATTTGACATTCAGCACGAGACTGTTTGGTTTTGCTTCCACTTGCACTTGTTCCTCCTCCTGCTTCTGCTTCTCTTCCACTTTCGTTTCCTTCTTCTCGTTGGTCTCCTCACTTATCGTGCTGTTTAGAAAGATGCGACGCTGTTCATTGATCTGCTCAATGGTCTTTAGCTGTCCGAGTATCTTCAGCTCCTCGCCGTTGCTACAGATGGATGAGGATTCACCGGCAATGGGTGTTGTCGCCTCAATGCCATTGCTGGCCACAGATACAATTTTTTGCTCACTACCGTTGCTGCTGCTGTTGCTCATGGTGTTCTAAGTTATATTGTGTAATCACGGCCAGTTGCTCCAGCACAATGTTTGTGTGCTTTGCCCGTTCGTCTTCTTCTGGTTAGTTTGTGGCTTCGTACCGGTGCTGGTGCTGTTTCTGGTGCTGGGTCTCTCGTATCTTATCAGAGAGACGCCTGCCTAACTAAACTAACTTGGCTGGCAATCGATTTGGATTTCTGATATACCCATAAGTGTATACCCGGGACCCGTCCCGTACATATCAAATGTGCGACGACAACCCATTTGCTTTTTGCTTTCTACTTTTGGTCTTCTTGGTTTTTGCCTCTGTCCCGCTGCCGCTGGCGCTGCCGTTTCTCCCCCGTCTTGTTTCAATTATCTTTCGGCCAGTACTGCGGCACGCCCCACAGCCAAATTGAAATGTTTGTGAATCTGAATTATTGGCCATTGGCGCGGCTTCCTCTCCGTTTTGTGCGCGACCTTTTCAATGTTCGCCCCTGGGTTCTCGGTAAGTACCGTTCGTTTGTTGGCCAAATGCCGCAGCCATCAATGTCAAGGTGTTGACGTGTTTTGGGGTTGTTATTGTTATGTATATATGGCCTGTGCATGTAATTTCTTTAAGCCCCAAACAGTGGAAAGTGGAAAGCCCTTGCCGGGCCAGGCCTCGCCAAATCAAAGAAAGAAAACAAAAGCGCCAAAAAAGCGATACTTGCGATCGGTAGGCCATGACCTGGCAGACATATCGAATGGGGTTTAACTCTAATTAAATCAAGTTGATTGGCTACAGTTTTAGTGGTATTTAGTAATTGTTTTTTGTCTTATTTAACTACTATTTACTGCTGTACCCTGGAAATACAGCTTATCCTTCATTTGATGTGCCTGCCATTATCGGCTCGGTCAATCGATATTATTATCGAACTAGTTTTGGTTCTTCTCTGCAAGACGTTGAATTTTAAATAAAAGTTTGAACTTTCGGTACTCTACAACTGACTATGGTCCCCTGCCACCTGTTTAAAACTATCAAAACAAGACAGACCAAACGCTGATTTGAAATTTCACTGTGCGGTTTCGTGTATGGAAGATTAGACAATGACCAAGACGACTCCGGTTGGGGCCAACACATGCACGAGTCTCTCATGCACAGAGCATACAAAGCGCAGACGATGCCTATTTACATAGCAAATCTTATCGTGCTTATTCAACTAGTTAGCTTAAATCATGTAATAAAGGAATTGAGAAACAGCTGAACAGTTGGCGGACAATCGGCCACCCTATCGTCGTCAATGTGACGGTGAAGGTTAAACGGCCGCGTCGGCATTGGCATTGGCATTCAGTCGTCCAGTAAATTGCGGTGCGCGCGCAACCACGGGCAAGGCAGGCAGCATCCATTTAACTCTATTCCATTTCATCTGGCCGGTAAACGTTAACCATCGTCATGGCCCCACCACGTCACATACTTGAACTTAGCCGGCAGGAGCAGCGTCAATTCATTGACTCATTCGACATGGTCATCAGCGATTGCGATGGCGTTGTCTGGCTGCTTGTGGGCTGGATACCAGGCACTGGTGCGGCCGTCAATGCCCTCAAGTCGGCCGGCAAGCAAATCAAATTTGTGTCGAACAACAGCTTCCGCACCGATGAGCAGTACATGGCGAAGTTCGAGCACATTGGGGCCAAGAATGTGCACGACGATGATGTTGTGCATCCGGTGAAGACGATTGTGCGATATCTGCGTAAGCATAGGCCCGGTCAGCGTGTCTACTCCCTCATGTCGCTGGAGGCTAACGAAACGTTGCGTAAGCACGACATTGACTTTGAGTCGCTGGTGAGGATGGTGTGGCAGGTGGCCGTTGGCAGTTGGCGGAGAGTTAATTATTGATTGCCTCTCTCTCTCCTCTCTCTGTACTTGCAGCAAGTGAAGGAGCATTTAACGGCTGCCTCGCTGGTGGATCATTTGAGCATTGACAAGCCCGTGGGCGCTGTACTCTTCGACATTCATCTGGACATGTCGTACGTGGAACTGGCCAAGGCCATTAGGCATCTGCAGCAGAACGATGATTGCCAGCTGATAGCCGGAGGCAGCGATGTCATCATGCCACTGGCCGAAAATCTCAATGTTGCCGGATTCTTTGACTTTCTGGAGCATGTGAAACGCTATACGCAGCGCGAGGCCACATTTCTGGGCAAACCATCGCCCATTCTGGGCGAAATGTTTAGCGAAATGTTCGACATTAGCGATCCCAAGCGCTGCATCTTCATTGGCGACACCCTCGTGCAGGATGTGCAATTCGGCAAAGCGTGCGGCTATCAATCGCTGCTTGTGCTCAGCGGTTGCCTCACCAAAGAGGACATGTTCAATGCGCCCATCGACGCACAGCCCGACTATTATGCCGACAGTCTGGCTGACTTTACGCAATTGTTACAGAATATACAAGAATAGAATCATAAAAAGGAAAGGAGCAAACTTGCTTTATTCGTCGAGTGTCGAGTCGTGCTGTTGTCACAGTTGTGAATTTTAAATCTCCAAATCCTCGGGATGATACAGTTCCGTGAGCAGACGATACACATAGGAGGGGGCATGGCCACCGCTAGCACAAAAAATTAATATATATTAAAGTTGTTTGCGTTACTTGTTGAATATTGAATGATATTTTACTCACGTATTGGATATGAAGAGCGTCACCAGCTCGGGTGGCACATAATCAAACATGGGACTGTAGACCTTGGCCTCGCGCGCTGGTATCGAATCGTATGGTATGACATCCTCGGCACAACCCACCATATTGAAGGCATCCTGTTCGCATAGATGCAACGGCGACAGCTTGTACATGGGCGCCAGGACAATCACCGGCACGGAATAATGCTTGGCGGCCAGCGCCACCGTATAGGCACCGCAGGCAGCACGCAGTCCACCATTGGCCAGCACACTGTGTGTGCCAATGATGACCTTATTCACGCGCGACATCATAGCAAATATCGCTGCATCGGGTATGACAATTATCTCCACATTCTTCTCTGCTGCCAAGCTGGCGGCCAGATTGTGACCCTGCAAGAGACAGAGAAAAATCACTTGTTGAGATTCCCCTTTTTTGGTTTGGAGCGAGTTGAACTCACTCTACAGGCGGGCGCACACTCTGCCACAATGATGGTGAGGAACTGACGCTTCTTGATGGCTCGCTTTAGAAAATTCTCAACGCTGCGCGAGTGTCCCAGCGTCAGAATGATCTCCGAGGAGTGTATATGCTCCTCCGCCTGCACGCAAATGTTCTCTGAGCTGGTCTCCAGCTCCGTTTCGACCTCCTGCAGATGATCGAGCAGCGCCTCGCGCAACCCCTGCTGCGGCACCGAATAGTCAACGCTGACATTGCTCTCGCTGGTCTGGGTGACCAGTTTGTGGAGCGACAGAGAGGCCTGTGAGTCATCCGCAAAGTGCTGAACTTTGGCATGCAGCAGATCGAACTCCTCGCGTGTCAGTTTCAAGATGCGACGTGCTATGTTCGAGGTAACAGTCTCCTGTGGCAGGGCAGCCTGCAAGATGCGGCACTGCGCCCGCACAATCTGCATAAGGGCACTGCATTGGGCAACATTGAGAGTGGTAAATACATAGACGACAGCCAGTTCTCATACTTACTCGGCATTCTTCCAGCTCTTGCTGATGATTATGTACTTGAAGATGTCTAGCGTCTTGTTGGTTATGCCGTAGGAGCCCTCCACCAAGCTATTCAAAGATGAAGAAAAAGTGTCAGCACTGGTGTAAGTGCTTGAACTCTGCGTTAATTGTTAACTTACCCCACTTTGATGGCATGTATTAGCTGGGTGACCTCTTTCAGTGGCTGTTCGCGCATTTTGACCCCCGCACGTGTGTTTAATGTTTAACAATTCGCGTTAAAAGTTAATAAAAATGTGGTAAAAAGACGTACGCACTACCACGGACTGTTATCGATACTGAAACAGCTGTGCGTGGTGCGCACCAAACCGAGCCACAAGCTGAACAAATATTAGCATGCAAAATGGCATTTGAATATTATACTTATACTGCCTTCATAGATATTACTTTAAACTGACCACTGCTCAAATTTGCATCAATTGAAATAAAACAGGTGGTTGGGGGGGGGGGGGGTTGATTTATTTCCGCTTGAATGAAGATGTAGTTGTTTTTTCTGAATCGCTAAATGGCCAACACTGGCGGCAACTGTGTCATCGGTTATCGGCAAAGAGAGGCCGATGTCGCAGCAGCAGCAACAAAACAATAACAACAACAACAACCACACAGCCAGAAATGCCCAACGATAAAAACTTGCCCTGGCCGCCGCGAGAAATGGGCTGCTCCGAAGCTTCAGATTGTTGTTTACGTGTCTTCTTCCGAAAGCTGAGGACGCTACCACATTGACCGACCCACCGACGCACAGTTCGGTGGCAGTAATAAGACTGCCAAGTAAAAACGAAAAACCGAAACATTTCCAACCGGTAACTGAATACCCCGGATTGATCTCCAGCGTTTGTTTATTTAACTGGCTGCTGTCTGCTCTGTTCTATTATAATTCTATTCTGTTTGTTTCGGCTGGCTCCACTCTTGTTTGCTCTCGCTCTCTGCAGCACACACAAAAGGGGGAAAACAAGCATTAACAATGAATATCCATAGTGAGTAATAAATAGGTTTTTAGTTGTCTTTGAACTCTACACTAATTAATGTCATAATATGCTGCCTGCTCCCATTTCTTATCGTACAGTGAACACAAACACATTGAAGTACATCAGTTTGTTAACGCTAACGCTGCAGAATGCAATCTTGGGTCTCAGCATGCGCTATGCCCGGACCAGGCCAGGTGAAATTTTTCTCAGTTCAACGGGTGAGTTGTAAACATATTTATTTACGTGGACAACTACCACGCAAGCAGCCGCTGCACAGGCACTTGCTGGCATTTTGTGTGGGGGGGGGGGGGGGGGGGGGG